TCCCAAACAAAGCAGCTTGAGCCACCATACTGACACTGGAAAGCCCCTGTGGAAAGCAAATATAGCAAATACATTTAATGTGAGCTGCCCCTCAAAATCCCATCCTCCATCCTTCTCACAGACTACTAGACCAACACGATAATTGGCATGAGAGGGGTGTGGGTCAAACAGCCTCAGCTTAGCCTGGATTGCAAAATCATCACTTCCATCCTTTCTCAAGCCCATCCCTGGACTACTGCACCAAAGGGATCTAGCACCAGCTCAGAGCCTGCTATCTCCACAATAGGATTATTGTTTTTTTTGTTTTTTTTGTTTTTTTTTGGATGATACTACCACTTTCAGGTCCCAGCAGAGACCTGGACCCATTGTATGAGGCACAGTGAGCATCAGTTCCTGCTGATGGAGGAGTTTTCACTCTCACCAGAGGAGATGGACACTAGGGCTTTGTTCTTCTGGCTACACTGATAAAGAACTGAGGAAAAGTGAAGCAAAGGTCTGGATCCATGAAAGTTTTTGAGGATCTAGCTCCTCAGCACATTTAAATAGTAACCACAAAGGTATTCGTGTAAAGACTGATGACTTGCCCAAGCTCTCAGGGAGACAAGGAATTGAATCTAAAGGCTAGTTTCTTTATGTAGTCCTAGAGTTAGTCTTCCTGTAAATATCCTTTAAAATAAAGGAGCTCTAAAGGACCACAAACAGCAAGACAAGGTCATTTGTTATAAGTGTTCCTCATCCTCTTTCCTTGTCACTAGAAAGAAAAGCAGTTGCACAAACAGCAGAGCTAATGAAGCTTGATCTCTGATAGCTTTTTTGTCAGAAATTCCCTTACAGCACTCTAACAACCAATATTTCCTGTCCATGATGCCCTCAGCATTCCCTTCACCACGGCTGCGCATTTCCAAATGGTGCATCTGTTCAAAACGTCTTAATGCTGCTGTTGTGGTTGGGCCATGCTGCAGCTGTTCTGGCTTTCTGGCAGAAGTGGGTGGGCTTGGTACGAGCGATGTGCTGGGTGTTTCCTCTGTTCTGTTATTTTATTTATTTGCTTGTTTGTTTGTTTTTATTTCAGGAATCACAATGTTTTCAAGATCTTTACTCTTCTGCCTACTTTGTTTGAAATTCCCCACCAAGGGAGTGACTGACAGATGAACAAATGGACAGCATGATTGCATATGCCTGGTTCCCTAAGGAAACCAGGCGAGAAACAGAAACATCTTGGATGTGTGGGGGAAGATCTGTGGTTTCTAGGCATTCACTTCACTGAAAACCAACACACGCTGGAGCTGCTGGTCATGCATTAGCTTACAATAGCTTCTTTTATCTCTCAATGAAAGCTGTGTGTTTCAGCCACTGCAGAATTTGATTATGATGGTTACAGCGTTAGCTAATTGCAAAGCTACGCAAGCATATTAAGTGCCACAGCTTTGGGTCTGTATTTTTATCCTGTTTTCTTGCTTCTCTATGTGTACTTGTAGGAATGACTTATTATACATATAAATACATGTTACATATGCACTTTATTTTATGCACCACAGACTTCACTATAGGAAAAATATAAATAAATATACACGTATATATTAATGGACATGCTCATGTATGTTTTATATATAACATTATATAAAATGTTATATATAATATTATATGCATTATAGTACACGTATATATTTATATATATATACACATATGTAGATATGCACAAATATATATATGTATATACATGTGTGTGTGTGTGTATATATATATATATATTTTTTTTTTTTTTTTGGGTGGTCCAAATCTAGAACACGATATTCCAAATCACATTTAGGAGTGATCTTATTGAATTCCTAGGCTGGCCTCCCTACAAAGCATCTCAAAACAAACTATTTTTTCTTTTGGAAAGCATTGTCAACTTCTTGGCTAAGGCCTCATTTTCTTATGTCTCTGTGGAGCTTTTTTTCCAGGTGATGGAGTTTAAAATGTGACATACTCAGTCTTGCAAGTGTTGAGCTGCTATCTGGATTGAGATGAATAGATCTGACATGATCTATCCTGTCATATCATCCCAGCTAAAGGCAGTTGGGAGGCTGAATACTGCAAAGTGGCAATGTCTCCATTTCTTGTCACCCAAGGAACAAACAGAACAGGCATTTTGCAAATATGCTGGAACATGCAGACAGGGATCACCCTTATTTTCTGCCACTGGGGAGTTCAGAGAAGCTTCAGAAGAATTAGTAAAGAGCTTTGGATTAAGGAATAACCCAGCTCTGTGGAAAATGTACGGGCCAAATCCTTGTATACAAACAAAGCTTCTCTTGAATTCCAGTTTTGAGAATTTACAGCATTTCTCCTACAAGTTTTACATAGGAATTGCATTATTCTCAGCCTACTCACAAGAAGCATTAATTTGTCATTGGCCAGAATCACAGAATCACAGAATCACAGAATTTCTAGGTTGGAAGAGACCTCAAGATCATCGAGTCCAACCTCTAACCTAACACTAACAGTCCCCACTAAACCATATCCCTAAGCTCTACATCTAAACGTCTTTTAAAGACTTCCAGGGATGGTGACTCCACCACCTCCCTGGGCAGCCCGTTCCAGTGCCTAACAACCCTTTCAGTAAAGAAATTCTTCCTAACATCTAACCTAAAACTCCCCTGGCATAACTTTAGCCCATTCCCCCTCGTCCTGTCACCAGGCACATGGGAGAACAGGCCAACCCCCACCTCGCTACAGCCTCCTTTAAGGTATCTGTAAAGAGCGATAAGGTCACCCCTGAGCCTCCTCTTCTCTAGGCTGAACAAGCCCAGCTCCTTCAGCCGCTCCTCATAGGACTTGTTCTCCAGGCCCCTCACCAGCTTCGTCGCCCTTCTTTGGACCCGCTCAAGCACCTCGATGTCCTTCTTGTAGCGAGGGGCCCAAAACTGAACACAGTACTCGAGGTGCGGCCTCACCAGAGCCGAGTACAGGGGGATGATCACCTCCCTAGCCCTGCTGGTCACGCTGTTTCTGATACAAGCCAGGATGCCGTTGGCCTTCTTGGCCACCTGAGCACACTGCTGGCTCATATTCAGCCGACTGTCCACCATCACTCCCAGGTCCTTCTCTGCCTGGCAGCTCTCCAACCATTCCTCTCCCAGCCTGTAGTTCTGCTTGGGGTTATTGTGCCCCAGGTGCAGGACCCGGCACTTGGCCTTGTTGAACTTCATACAGTTGACCTCAGCCCATCGGTGCAGCCTATCCAGATCCTCCTGCAGAGCCTTCCTACCCTCGAGCAGATCGACACACGCACCTAGCTTGGTGTCATCTGCAAACTTACTGAGGGTGCACTCAGTGCCGTCATCCAGATCATTGATGAAGATGTTAAAGAGGACCGGCCCCAGCACCGAGCCCTGGGGGACGCCACTAGTGACTGGCCTCCAACTGGACTTGGCTCCATTTACCACAACTCTTTGGGCCCGGCTATCCAGCCAGAAAGATTTATGTCTCCTGGGAAGTAATCTAGCTTCCTCTGGTTTATCAAGATGAAGTCTGGAACTAAAGCAAAATAAATGACTGATTTAAAAGCAGTTTGCATTATCTGAAGTTCAGCTCTGTGTGGGTCAATCCCCAGCCCATGTCTCACTCAGCAGTTCTCTTGTGCCCCAGGGAATTTTCAAACATATACTATACTTTCCCATGCAGAAACACATTTCTACTGCTCAGCTCTCCCAAGTGAAGCAATGGTGAACCTGGCATGGTACATGAGGGCTGTAGCTACAACTCACTGGAGAAAAACTGTCTCCAGCAGGCTTCGGTGATGAGAAACGCATTGCTTAAAATGTTAACAACTGGGGGTTTCTACTCCTATATAATATCTGTGTGTGAAACTATTTCTGCAGAACATTTTACTCCAAGCAGCAGCCCATTTATGATTGACATGCCAGAGGCTATGACAGCAGCTGTCCTCTCCTTTCACATGCACTCACCCACAAAGCTGATGGGAAGCCTAACACCTACTTTCTCCTTTAGCACGTGGCTCCTTTCCTCTACCTCAGCCATGTAAAACAAAGGTATGTGCCACTGACAAGGTGCCAGTAGGAAGCAGGACCTGCTGGCTGGTAACACCACAGGGTAGAAGAGGTGGTTTCCAGGCACAGACCTTTCTTCACTATTTCTATGTGAAGAAAGGAGCAAGTGAGGTGCTGTCCTTCATCTCTCCTCTGGCTCTCTACAGCTCCTCCTACAGATCTGCAGGTCTGCATAGATAGCCAATGAGCAATATGGGCAAGAGGAATACCCACAAATATGAGCTCTGGGGTGGGCATTTTGGGTTCAGAGCATTCAGGCTCTTCAAAATAAGAGCTGGTAGTGAAACTGTGAAAATGTCCCTGCCATAATATACTCCAAGAGATCAAGAGACCAAGGAGAGCAGGACACAGAGAGTCTTTCACCCACCCCAGTGCAGTGAGATAAGGGTGCCTCACCCAGAGATTTCAGGAGAAACCATCTTGTTCTTAGGATCTTCACATGAAGTTCACCATGGGATGGGATCTGAATGAGAATGACAGAAGAGGATTTCCTAAGGAATATTGTCAGTGTGACAGAGAATGGACCTAGTTCTGAGGGTCACCAGCATCAAAGACTGAAGTCTCCTGTGGGAGGTGAAGTATACGTCAATGCTCATTTTCCAGATTAGAACACATTATTCAAGAAATGACAGTAAGGATGCCTGAAGCTCTTGTCTAAGCTACTGACAGCCATACTTTTGCTGTCATAGTAGTATAATATTCTTTCCTTTGGGTGATTAAACTGCTGGCCTAATAAATGTTAGTGCCAATGGGACTGTCATTTAAGTCCTGGAGTCTGTATATAGAGGAATTTCTGGCTGCCGTTAATAGATGGAGGTCTGTTAGAGCTGAAAACCCTGTTTGTTCAAGGCCTCTCCAAGAACAGTGTGTCAAAACAAGGAGACTTAACATCCTAACTCAGGAAAATAAAATAAATAAATATATAAATAAAATTGTACATTGGCATTGGATGAAAGATTCTCCTTTTATTTTAAAACCTCTGTAAAATCAGAGCAATGGGTCAATTCCAGCATTCAGCCAATTTAATTAGCGATTTCAGAGTAATCATGATAATGAGCCAAGTCGGCAAAGATGTCATTGGGGTTCTTGCAGTTCAGGTTGCAAAAACAAGCATTGATCCACATGATTTTCCAGGAAATCTCAGTTCCATCTGGGCACTCAAACCTCACTTCAATAGTCTTGGACTTGTAGGGTGTGCAGCACCTGTTGTCTGTGCAGACGCCACAGTATTTGGGTCTATAAGGACTTTTGCTCACACATCCTGAGATGGTGTAGTTCATTGCTTCGCTGGCCCTGTAGACAGCCAGGCACTTCTTCCCAGGCTAATATCAGAGAACACAAAGAGAGGCAGATTAATATTCATTGCTTCATGCTGACACAGGTGGGATATGCAAACAACTTTTTTAGTATTTAAATATTGTGAAGCTGCTAGAAAGCTTTTTACAGACCTGATCTAGAGGTGTGACAGACTGACACTTTTAGACATACGAACCAAGAAGCTGCAGGTAGGACACTTGCAAAATACAGTTTATAACTATGACCAGCAGTGCACTATTGCTTTTCTACTAGCTGAGTCACAGGTCTGTCTGCACCAGCAGCAAGCACAGTGGGCTTGGCTTGCCTTTCCTTGTAAGGAGCATTTTTGGCTGGAATTAAAGCTCTCGGGGGAAGGTTTTCATACCGGTGTGTGGAAGCACAGGGAGGAGACATTTTGACCTCTCTGCATCACAGTGAGTCCACATGTGCTTGCTAATGGCCTCCGAGTTCAGAAGTGCAGCTCTCAGAAGCCAGAATGCTGCCAAACACATCTGACCCCATGTCCAGGCAAAGCTCGGGGGATGCACAGAGAAACAGTCCCCACCTTAATGTGCTTGGTTATGTCCACCTCGCAGGGCCGCATGTTGCACAGGCGACTTTCCTTCATGAGCCGGCACTGGTCGTTGTCGTTGGAAATCCTGGTGGAGATGCCCAGCCCACAGGTCTTTGAGCAGGGACTCCAGGGTGAGGTGTGAACAATGCAGTTCTTCTGCCAGGCTTCATCCTCCCCCTCGTATGCTGCAGAGACCAGATTAACCACACATTATTCAGCTGGGCAACTTTCCATATTAAACACCCTCGCCCAAGCTCATTACACATTCAGGCCACTAACCCAAATAATTAAATCACAGTGAAGTGGCTCAGCATCCCTGCGAACCTCCGCTTGCTTTGTTACCTCCCCACCCCACCCCCTTTGCCGCTGACCTACTTGTGTCAGACCCTCAAGTGCTCGGGGCTGGGGTTCATTTCTTTTTTTCTCTTTGTAGCCTCACATAAGGGGGTCCTTGTCTAGGGCCCCCAAGTGCTACCACAACGTAAACACTTCATTACAGAAGCCTGCACCAGTTGATGCAGAAAGAGATGAGATCTAATCTCACCATGAAGGGTTATTTAAGAGCCCATTCAATTGATTCCCTCTAGCAGAAAGTGGTCAACAGTCTTTGATGGACGGCTGAGGGGTTTGGGAAGCAGCCACTGCCTTTCATTGGAAGGAAGAGAAGCTTGAATAGCTCACAGAGAGCTCGGGAATCACTTAGAAAAGGGTGGGCTCTGTTATGAAAGCAGCCATCAACCTCAGGTCAGGTTCCTTCATGGCCTCGGCAGAAGTCCCCACTGGACTGCAGCTCACAGCACAGCCCACAGGCACAGCTCTGTAGAAACTGCTGGGCTGAGCTTGCTCGTTATAATGTTAATCATCAATATTAAATACTATATTTATAGTTATATTAAATACTGTAAAAACTATCTTCACTTCTACTTTTAAGAGAAAAAGTTAGGCAAGAGAAGTTGCATTGTGCTCATTTGAGGCCATAGTTCATGAAGAGAAAAAGCCAAATTCAGTAATAGATGTTTTTGATTTGGACTTATTTTCAAAAGCTACCAGAAATAGTAATGAGAGCTAAACTCTGGTGGTTTTAACCCACAAAATGGCTTTGTTTTTTACAACATGCCCATTGATGGAGAAAAACAAACAAACAAACAAAACATACCATTAAGGAAACAAATCCCAGTTCCCTGTTCAAACACCCTACATCTCCTTGAGCTCTGCTTTTGTGAGGTGTTCTGTAGAATGGGGCTAATGTGACTACATTGCATCACAGTGCTTTGAAGATAAATTTATCATATATGGAAAAGCAGGCACATCCTAAAGTTTAGGCACCATGTGTGAGGCAAATGGTACCAACACTACACAGACAGCTAAGTGATCCTCACTGTGAATATGGGTGCAGGGAAAGAAGATAACATATGACACGTAACATAGGTAGTTTAATAATGACATCAGTGCAGTTGAACATAATTGCTAAAAAGCTATACAAATGCAAAGACAATTTAGCCTAATTTTAAAATTGTCAGTGAAACTTCTACTCCAATAACTGCTTTCAAGGTGTGTCTGAGTTTGAGATTATTAAGCTACAGGAGCTTTAAAATCATATGACTAGCACAAAACAACCCAGACAGAAAGCTTCAGTGCCAAATTAGAGAGATAATTTTGCTTTCCAGAGGAACTACACTGATGAAAAACTGGTGAAGTAAAAAGGACTTGTCACATCTTAAAAGTGTCAGCAGATGTGTGTTTCAGAGGGGCTTTTGTCACACAAGCATGTTTAATGAGTCTCATACTGCTGCACGACTGGTGTTTGCATCTTCTGTGCTTCACTACACTCTATATAAGAGTATCTGTGCCTTGCTCACACAAAGGCAAGACACTCGCCAAGTTTGACAGTGCAAGATGATGCTTTGGTTGCAGACACTGACTTCAGCTCCCTGATGGCCAAGGAGAGCTCCACCAAACTCCTGCCATACCTGCAGAGGAGATGTGGCGTGGAGACGTCTTCCTGATTTTCTTGGAGTCATCACAAACCCACTGCTCGCAGCATTTCCCCGCCATCTTAATCAGCTTTGGGTTTGGGCACCAGACAAGGGGAGGGCGTGAGTTTGTGCACATGGGAATGCAGCCCACTGCCCCATTAATGCAAGTGCAGTTGTATTTGCAGTTAGGCTGAAATGTGTCCCCATTATTATATCTGACTCCGTTGAGGACGCATCCTACACCAACAATCTCTGAAAGGAATTTAAAAAAAAAAAAAAAAAAAAAAGAAGAAAAGAGAGAGAGAGAGAGAGAGAGAGAGTGAGAGCACTATTAAAATAATGCTGTCAATAAACCGTGTTAAAGTTTTTATTTATCAAGCTGCTCCCTGGGCTAATGGAGCTAATGTGGAGACATGACAGTGCTGCGGTGATGTGTTCAGCATGACGTTAAGCCAAATGTGGTCATGCCATCTAGGAAACTATTTTTGTTCTGAATCACAGCAAAAATGAATCTTCTAATGCATCACGGAAAAAGGGTTAGAAAACAAAACACGTTTCATGCACAAACTCTCACTCAAATGATCATTTCATGGCATGTTGTTAGAAGTTGTTTACAATAGGAGAAATCCAAGTAATTAAAGCTGATATTGAGTCAAATTTGACATTTTTTGGGATGCATGAGAGGATTACATGCAGTTGCAAATATGCTAGAGATCTGTGCAACATTTGTACCCTTCTGAAGCAGCAGTAGGAGGACAGCCAAGGCAGCAAAGGAGCACCTCAAATGGCACAGACTATATTTAGGCAACAAGAGCCCTACCACTTTATCATAAATCAGTTTCCTTAGAAACTGAAGAAAAACATAGTAATGCTATGAAAATTATTATTTGATGAATATTCGTAAATAAAAGCATGAAAGATCAAGCCCTTTCATTTCCCCTGAGAAGGAATCATATTAATCCACGAAATAAGACAAAATTTGTATTACTATTATTATTTTTAAAGTTATGAACAATGATTGGAATCAGTGGCAGGAATCTAATGGAACTCAAGCTTCAGTTTCTCGTTTGGTCACATGGAGGCAGTGTGCACGCACTGATCGGGTTGTTCTAGTTTTCTGTCTGGGCGGAAATGGAGCTGAAGCGCAGTTGTGATTCAAGGCCAATACAAATTGAACTGCTTGATTAAAATCCGCAAAAGCTGCCTATTTTTATAATGGGCTGAATGAACATATAAAATACAAAACCCTTCATTTGCACAAAATAATTAAAAATAGACTTCATGGAACTTGAAGCACAGATCCAGATTGCCAGTTTGTGCTAAGCTCCAGTATTGATAATGCTTCAGCCTTTGTATTGAGGAGCTGTCACTCAGTTCTGGAGCCAGAGCAGAGGGCTCAGTTATGCTTCTAAGTGCGCACATGAATTATGACAGTTCAAGAAAATGCTGGATTTCCTCAAGAAAATGTTGATTTCCTCTTTGCTACAAGCATACCCATCCAGGATTGTGCTAACTCAGCCTCCTGAAGGCCTCACACGTCAAGACGTTTACTGTGAGAACATCCCCAAACGCAGACATAGGCATAGTAGAATGCCTTCATGCAGAATCACACTGCATTTGCAGTAAATTAGGCAACTGGGGAGCACTTCAAAATTGCCATCCCCACGTACACAAAGGCTACCTTCCCACCTGGATGTGTGCTCTGCACCCTGCTGTCTCTGCTTCAGTGCAGAGATAATCCAACAATGTAAGGAGAGCTGTAGTGACTCTCAGCAGGTTCCTATCTGATGTCTGGGCCACACTGCAACATGCCAGTCCACCTATATCCTGAATTTCCCACAGTTTCACCCAATTTCTTTTCCTGACACTTGTACCTAGGTCTTTCAGGCTCTTTATTTTCCACAAATTATATTGTTCCTGCAGTCCTGCATGCCTTGAATTCTCTAGAGCTAGAGTTTTTGGCATCCATCTGCAAAACAATTTCCTCAAAGCAGTTAGCTCCCAACCCCCAGCACAGGAGTCCCACACTTGCTTCACTCCCCCTGCAGTCAGGGCAATATCTGGTGTACTCAGAATGGAATGATACAGCCTGTATACAGCCCAGGGTATGGGAAAGAACATGTCAGCACATCCTGTCATCTGCATCCACCCACATGCTGAAAGCAAGAAGAAGGCCACAATTTTCTGTGGCAGCCAGAGATAAACAGCTTCACCTTCTAACCTAGCTTCTCATGTCCCTCAGCTGTGCGCACCACAAGGCCCTTCACCATATAACCAAAAATGTCATATATGGAGTTATATTGTCATGACAGTAAGGATGTGAACATGCATGGGATTGGGAAACCTTCCAGACCTCACTAGGCAGGCTGGGGATCAATTCTCCTACATCACAGTGCTGTTGCCACAAGTGTACCAAGTGTCTGAGATGTACTGGAGGACTACAGATTATGAAATCCATCTAAGAAAGCAACCATAAAAGTAAGTAAACATGATGCAGCATGAAGGTTTTAAAGAGGCCTAGGAAGGCTGTGGTAGCTTTGAGACAATATCCAGTTTGCTATCTTTTTTGTTTTGTTTGTATCCTACAAAGTGTGCTCTTCTTCCTTTGAATCCACTATTAGGAATAGGCCATAAGACTCTCCTTAGTGGCATGCTTTTCGTGCAGATGCCCGTAATGCTTGTTGTTAAAGCCAGTTGCACACGTATCCTTCCTACAGCCCCAGCCCACTACAGCACCTCCTCCTGTTACAGGGAATACAGAATCATCTGCTTGCAGATCCAAAGACCTTCCAATGCTGGTTGCTCCTTGTTCTTGGCAGCGGCTAACCCAAAGAGTAAGAATACAGATGCCATTTCTCATCCAGTCAACTGGCCTGAGAATGAAGACAGCTATAAGGACATGGAAGAAAAAGAATGAAGGAGCTGACGAATTTACAGTCAGGTATTTAATGAGATAAATTTCAGCTCAGACCAAGGGGAGCTTCCAAGGTATATCTAAGTCAAAAATATATGTACATCACTTACGTGCACATACTCCTATTTCGTACCTAGGTCTGTCTCCACTGTAGTCACAGTACAGGCCCCTGTGAAAATCACAGGTGTCGGCCTCAGTGCAACTTTCTCCACGCTGCTTGGCACACGTCTTGCAGCAATCGCAGCCGTCTGTGACCAGGCTGACTCCTACTGAGCACCGAGGAGGGGACTTCGGACACTCGCATGGCCACTTACAGTACTGAGTCCGTGTGTAGGCCTCTGTCGTGGCAGGGACGGTGGGGGTCATGGTGGTGGAGGTCTGGGCAATGGCCTACAAACAAAGAAACACAGCTTGGAAACTGTTCCAGAGAAAAGGGGGCTGTGAACTATGTGGTGATATGTCCTTAATAAAAATCCCATCAGATTCAAAGAGGCTACAAGGAAAACAAAGAAAAAAAAAATCAAAAAAGCATTGCTTTTCTGTATAGCCCTTCTGATACCAGCCAGGGGCAAATACGCTGCAGCTTGGACTGGCATCCAAACCACATAGGCCCAGTTTGGTGGTATTCAGACTTTTTCAGACCTCTACTCTCTGAACAGAGGTCTCTTTCCACGTAGGAACATAGGCACATATGTCAAGACCCCTCGATACACAGGAAGTTGTGATATGTCTGGTTTGTATCACCCTGGTTATTTGGCTCTGGCAGAGGGTTATGCCACCCTATAGTTGTTGTTGCCTGTTCAGCAAGATAAAGGTCATAGTGTTGCAGTGTGAAAGCACATGAGATGGGGCCCTTTTATGGCCTTCTCCTCCTCAGGCTTATCCATATTTGTGCATATCTTGCATCCAAAACAAGGCATCCCATAAATCCATGAAGAGACAGGGAAAAGGCCTGTGAGCCCACCAACTCCACAGGCTCCTGTGATAGGTCAGGAACCTCTGTGCTGTGAGGATGATCACAGAATCACAAGATCACAGAATGGCTGAGGTTGGAAGGGACCTCTGGAAATCATCTAGTCCAACCCCCCTGCCCAGCAGGATCACCCAGAGCACGTTGAGCAGGACGGCATCCAGGTAGGTTTTGAATATCTCCAGAGGAGACTCCACAACCTCTCTGGGCAACCTGATCTGAAACCCATCCCTGTCATGGATCTTATGAGGATGGCTTGGTCATTTCATCTCTTCTTGCAATACCACCAATACCATAAGTGTCTTCTTACAATAAACTAGCCCTTTCACTTGAATAGGGACAAGGTTACAGAAAGGCAAATAAACCTCTGAAATCAAAATCTGGCAAACTGGCTGTGAATATTTTGATGCATGAGGACACTGGCCTATGTCTGAAAAATGCTTTGTTCATCTCCACACCTGTAACAAAACGTGCATGCGGTTCAGCTCCCTGACAGATTCCCAGTGCTAAGCAATGAAGCTATACAATGTCTATAACAATTAAAATAAAATAAAATAAAATAAAATAAAATAAAATAAAATAAAATAAAATAAAATAAAATAAAATAAAATAAAATAAAATAAAATAAAATAAAATAAAATAAAATAAAAACATGCATTTCCTCTAAGCATTGTGATGAACTTCCTTATCCATCCTTTGTAACATCTAAACAAATACATACTAAGGTTGTCATGAGGCTCTTAGGTCTTTCCTTTGCCTTTCCTTAGGCTCTTCAAAGTCTCACACTATAATTCCCATGAGATTGTCTTGGTCCACACAGCCAAAAAAGTGGGATATTTCTACAGTGATTTACCACCTACACCTTTTGGCACATTCTTTTGTTGTACATGTAGTCACTGTGGGCCATATAATTTAGATGAGTGCAAATGAAGCTTCAGGACTTCAGAGTTTCACCTGTTAGCAGTGCACAAATATTTGCCGTCACTGTAAGCGTAAAAGGAAAAGTTTTATGGAGAGGATACTGCCAAGATTCCATCTTCTGATCTACACTACATCGAATTAGAAAAACAAAACCAAAAACTACAACATTGATGAAAAATATGAGAAGTGCTTTAGTAAGTTGAGATATAAAAGGAATTTCATGTAATGCAATGATGCCACTCCAGGACACAGATTTAGGTCACTATTACTGAGAAAAAAAAAAAAAAAAAAAGAGTTCTGGGGTACCTTAGCTCATAGGAAAACACACAGAGGGCAAAAGTTCATTACCTTATGCAATCTGCTTCCTGCGTGATATTTAACAGCACCACTGCATGATATTTAACAGCAGCAGCCATGTTCATGACACAGGGAGGGTGCAAGTCAAATCAGTAACAAAGCAAATATATGTCTTTGCTACCAGGATTACTGCAGAGAAAAACGGAACTGCACATGGGCATCAAGCAGAGCACTCTGCCTGGACCTATGTGGTCCAGAAACTCTTTCTAGTTATAAAATTTGACGGCTGCAAAGAATGAGTGTATAACCCTACGAAGTACAGACAAGGAAAGTCAAAGTCTAGAAACTGCTAAGGTATTCTCATCTATTCCTGGCTAACGCATACTAAACTATATATTCCCTAGTGCCCCAGTGTTTTATCTTATTTACAGTTCCAGATGAATGAAAAAAATAAAAAGGTTTTTCACTAGCTGTCCATGGAGAAAATGCAGCAACCAAGGGTTCTGTTGGGAAAAGCATCTTCAAGAATAACCATCCCACAGCCCATAATCCATCCATCCATCCATCCATCCATCCATCCATCCATCCATCCATCCATCCATCCATCCATCCATCCATCTGTCCAGATACCCCTGCGCAGCTCTTTGACTGTCTTCTACAGCTTCTTTGCTAGCTGTCTCAGGTTGTATTTAAATAAATAAGTAAATAATCTAAACCTGCTCCTGCTGCATTTGAAGATGTTTTTAAGCGTCTCAGTAATTAGTTATCTTTTATTTAGAACACTAAATTGTTAACACATTGTTAATTGCTGCCAAATAGGCAATGTGTTTGCTCTGGGCATCATTCCCAATTCTATTAAGGCCTCCAGAATTGGCCTTAAAGTTGGCTTAAAACCACATTTAAACTCATGTTTAAACTAAAACATACCAATATAATTTACTCCCACTTTAAAGCTCCTTGATGTTGCCAAAGTTGTTAAAAGAGGAACATTCAGATCAATGAAAAGACTTGGCCCTTTAATAGTAGCATTTTTCATTCCACTCACAAAAATTTGAGTAGGTGCAATAATCTGTCACTTGAGAAGAGAGGCCTCTTCAAGTGCAATAAACCTATTTACTTTGTTGATGAGTAAAAAAGTGCTTAATAATCAAATCCAGATATAGAGACAAAAGTCACACTATTTAAATAGCCCATTGCCATGGCCCAACCCCATAAGTAAATCCCTTCACAGTCCCTTGTTCCTGTTGTTAATATGAGCAAGAAACAGTTCCCATCCTGTGAAGATATGAAAACATCTGTGAATCAACACATGTAGCAAAGAGGAACCAGTAAGTCCTGACAGTCCAGTGATTGTAGATAATTTGTGAGGACTGAGACTGCATTCTTGCAAAGGTCTGGGTATCTGGGAACTATTTGGTGGCTCATGATAAACAGGAATTTAAAGTAAATCATTTAACAGTGCTTCCACTATGGTTAAAGCCTGAGGTGACCAAGGAAGCTTTTCAAGGGTCCCTGTAGTGACTTGTAGGTGTTGTGACTGTTGGATATACTTAGATATCCAGTGGTGTTAGCTGAGCAAGCCACAGGAAGGAAACTTAGTGTAGGTTACATGAGCATCAGTGTCAATAAGTGTCAAAATATTTTTGACTCCCTTATTTTACAAATAGAGAAGCCATGGAGAGACGGAAAGAGCATCCTGTCCTAGGCTCCATTACCACCAGATTTTCTTTGGAAAATGGTGTCCACCAGGTACCAGAAAAAGTGTGCAACATGCACAGCTTCAAGACCCTCTTCCTCTGCCCTCTGAAGTCCCTCAGAGCTTTGCTATAGAAGAGGCAATTGTGCAGATTTATAAAATTCTTGGCCTTTCCTCTTCTGTGTTCTGCTGTCACTACTGGGATATTTAAATCCCTTTGGAAAAGCCATCCAACACCACTAGTACTACAGTATCTCAAAACATTTTGGAATTATTACTTTCCTACTAATACTCTGTAATGGTTCTCAGCAACAGCCATCCTTAGGAAGAAAACAAACAAACAAACAAACAAACAAACAAAAACCACCACCAACAACAAAAAATCACATATAAGGTTTCATGAATCACATCTTCAGTGTCATTATAATACATATAATAATACAAGTTTGACAATGGTTTTCTATGAAAGTCAACACAAGAGTGAAGAGAAATTTCAACATTGTAGTAAAGAGAAACACCAACAAAACACAATGCTGGGGATTTGACAAGTAAATTTTAAAATGTCAGAGAAAGTAAAAAGAGTGTCTAGTGTGATTTTTTTTTCCCAGATATTGGTAATTAACATGTTTTCTACAATTACTCTTCAAGCTTAGAGTCTGCAGATTTATGGTATATTTATGCTCCCGATTTATGCTGGACAAGTTCCAAAATTAGTTTCTGTGTACATATGCAGATAATATTATTTTGGTAGCAACGATTCCCTGCAAATTTCTGTGTTCATATTCAAGAGGACAGAAGGAGAAAATAAAAAAATGACTGACGGCCTAGTAAGGTGTATTTCCAATTTGTTGGAAAAAATGATATTTTTTAGTTTTGAAAACTGGAAAGACCAAGTTACGGTGTTGAACTTAGTGTATACACTCCAAATTGCAAGACAGCCAGAGATACAGCAGCACTTTCACATAAAGTATGAGGAAACCTCAAGCTCTGTTTTTAAGCATTAAAGCTTTAGATGCATTGCAATATATTCCTTCACTTCCAGTTCATATAGGTGTTTAAAAATACATTTCTGTGTATTCATTTTACTGTTTCAGCACTGTAAGAGCTTACTTTTTTTTTTTTTTTTTTTTTTTCCACCCCAGGTATTTTTCTCATCAAGATGAGGAGAGAAAAGTTATGCATGCTCTTCTCCATTTACTGATGGGATAGAGTCTCAAAAAGATGGTGATTTCTAAGCCATTTTTAAGCTATTTCATCTGGCTACTGGCATTGCTGGAGAAAGGGTTATGAGAGATGGCCTGCAGAAATCAGCTCGAATCATAGTGGGTTATCACATATGCTGTTTTCTCCTTGACAGTAATTTGTTTTAAAAGGACCCTTGAGCCAATCCTTAGCTGCAAAAGTATGAGCTGTGGTTTTCAGGGCACATACTGTTGAGTGGACTCCTTTTAATTTCTGACAGTAAACATTTAAAATGAGTATTTTAAAGTTACATTTCTGATGCTG